TTCATCTCGCACAGGACCTGAGGCACCCTCCGAGAACTCCGCCTCCACCAACTCCACCTCCACCAACTTTTTCACCGCGTTTTGGCTGTAATGGTCGGCGTAGAGGGCGAGGGCAGCTGCGAGGCTGGGCATGCGTTGCTGAAACTGAGCGGGGACACCGTCCGTCTGATCGTTGGCGGCGCGGCTAAGGCGGGAGGATTAGGAGGAATAGAAATGGGAAGGAAATTTTGACTCACGCGGTAAGATACAGGCCGGGCTCGCACCCGCGCAAAACTACCCAGTAGCTCTGCGACTCGTCGTGGCCAGCGAAGGCGGCGGCGAGCTCGGTGGGAATGATGGCGATTCCCTCGACGAAGGTGGGTTCGAGAACAGCTGCAGAATCAACGTCAGATAGGTAAGCGGGCAGGCAGGAAGAGATGAAACGCACATTGACCGCCGAGGATAGTCGAAAGAGTGGCTGAGGGATGGTTTCAGCAGAAGTCGGCGAGTGAAAGACAGGATTTACCTTGGGCGGCGGCGGTGAGACGGGCAATCGTTTGGAGATACCTGATCATTGCCGCCATCTCCGGTGTTTTGGGAAGGGCGGCGGTGTCGATGGCGGGGAGAGCCCCCACCGCCGTCGAAGGTAGAGGAGAGGCCGGGGCAGCGTCGGGTACAGTGGGCGAATTGGGGGTGGACATGGTGGCGAGAAGAAAGGTGCGGTGTGGTGATCATCAAGATAACGCAGGCCAAGAAATCGCATGCGTTTCACTTCTTGATCTTGATGTTTCGACTTCGTCCGATTGGGAAACTAATAAGCGGGTAAGCAAGGGGGTGTATTGAAATAGAGAGCGAGGAGAATCACATTTCTGGCGCGAGCTATTGCAGGCCTGGTGCAACGAGTTCCCGGAGGAGTTGGAGCTGGCTTGCCGGTGGAGGTCTTGGACCCGAAACAGAAGGCGGCGCCGCCGCGCCTGCTGACCGACGAGGAACGAGGTGAGCGGCGCGCCTGCCTGTAGGAGAAACTCAGCGGACTTACGTTTCTCAGAAACTAACTTACAGAATTAGTGGGCGGGCCGTGATGTGGAGAGCAAGGGGGGGGATCTACGGTTGAAAGGGGGTGGGCGAAACAACAGCGTAAAATACAGTACTCACTTGTGCACGCGCTACGTCAACAAACCCAAAAAACCGTGTTTAACCCTCCCTCTATCTTCGTTATACACGCCATAAATCTGGAATGGCGCCAAAGGGCTGGGCTACCAAGGAGCAGCAGGCGTTCATCACGCTGTGGATGTCCGAATTCTTAGTGAAAAAGGCTGCAAAGAACCTGGACGCGTTCTGGAAAAAGATGAGGCAGGCTTGGTACGAGGAGTTCCCGGAGGAGTTGGAGCTGGACTTGCCGGTGCAGGTCTTCGACCCCGACCCGAACGCCGTGCCGCCGCGCACGCTGACTGAAGAAGAGACCAGCCAACTGGGCGAGGCTATAACTGCGAGGAACGAGGTCAGTCGCGCATCTGCGGTCAAAAAGCGCGTAGAGCTCAGGCTTTCTTCCAGCAACTGCGCAACTCGTTCTTCAACGCCTACGGCAAAATCAGAAAGCAGCGTGGGGGTGTCAGTCGTTCCACATCTGGGCTTGCTGCTATGCTTTTCAAGCGTCACCCTAAGCGCACGCATCGCCATCAGATTCTCGAGGTCTACCAGAAGGACCACAAGACGACCGTGAAAGCCGCGCTGCAAGAATCGGAGTATGTCGAGCTCAACGAAGCAGCACAGCGCCGCACAGAGGACGGCGAATGGATGGATGACGACGACGAGGAAGCAAAGGCCGAAAGGCTCGACAAGGCCCGCAAGGAGCGCATGAAAGTGCAGCGGCGCGTCGTCCGGGAGTGTTGGGAGGCGGAGGACGAGGCAGTTCAGGAGGAGGTGCGGGAAGAGACGAGGGCAGAGGTCAGAGTTAAGCCGAGCGAGGACGAGGACCCAGAGGATGGTCAGGTCCCGCAGAGAACGCCGGAGGAGTATCAAATGTAGGGCATTGCTTTGACTGGACCAGACATTCGGCTCATTGGCTTGGCACCAGGTCGTTGGACGAGTCGATGCAAGTAGCTGAGATTTTCTTGACCGAATTCGCGAGGATGACCGGTTGGGTGGGGGCCTTGGTGTACGCGGGGCCTGTACCGCGACTTGGAGGTGACCTGGGATTCAAGAGGTGAGAGTTTCCTAATTGGGAACGCTTCGACTCACACACTCACACGACCTTCTCAGTTACTCTTTTGGCCTTGACGCGGGCGGCGTCAACTTCGAAAACTTCCACAGCAACTGGAAGAAGGGCGTGGTCAACCCGCTCTGCAAGTTCGCTCGAAAGGCCATCCGTGAGTGTTTTGTACATTGAATTCGAAGTAGAGATCTCAATCCCACAACAGCGCGTGAAACGCGCACTGCACGTGCGATCGAGAAACCTGCGGACGAGCAGGAGCAGGATGAATCCGCGTCCGAAGGTACGGTGGCAGAGCAGCCTCCGCGGCGCCCGCACAAGCGCAAGTCGAAGTCCAAGAATAAGGAGCAGACTCCGAGTGCAGCCGCGAAAGGCACGAGCACCGCCGCAAAAGGGACCAAGAGGCGTCAGACTTCAACTTTGAGCCCACCGCGCGCTCCCAGCCCGTCCGTAGATCCACGCCCTGTCGGTGACGTGCAGGGGACGTATCAAGAGTACGAGAACGATCTTCAGGCGCGCGCTGGATCTGAGGACCGCAACTTGGTCTACGATGGCCCCGCACTCAACAACTACGGCAGTTCCGGAGAGTACGAACGCGACTTTCAGGCGCGCGCTGCGGCTGAGGATCCAGAGCTGGACTATGACCATTCCGCATACGACAACGACAACTACGGCAGTTCTGGTGACGATCCCTCGTCCAGCACGTTCTTCGGTGACGACACCTTGCCCAACACATTCGGCATGTCCCCCACCTCGTCCACCGCCTTCGGCATCTCCGCCACCTCGTTCAACGCCTTCGGTATCCCCGCCGCCTCGTCCAACACCTTCGGTATGTCCTCCAACGTATTCCTGGGGAACAACACCTCCTCCGGCACCAACAAAGCCCCCTTTCGATTCAATTTCGATGGGAACAACTACCTCAGCGTCAATCCAAAGGCACTCGTGCCCGACGTCACCGCCGAAGACGCCTTTGCCGACTTGGGCGCGGGCGGGAGCGCCTTCTCCGACTCTGGCAACAATTTAAGCGCCGGTGGAAATGGTTGGGGCGTCAATCTTGACCCCTTTGCCTCTGCGCCGAGTGAGGAATCCGTGACGGCTCTGCCGCGACCTACGCCGAAGCCACCTCGGGTCGCATTGGGCGCACCGTCATCGGGGTTCACGTTCGGACGAGAGCCGCAATACCGGCCGCTATACTCGAGCTGTTTGCCCTCGAGCTCCGCAGGCGACGCCTCAAAATACCCTTATCATCTTCCTGCTGCTGCGCCGATAACGGCGCCCGCTGGGTCGGCGCCAGGCGCGGCCACACTCTACCGCTCCAGCCCAACGCCTTCTACCCCAAGCTCGCGTTCTGCGGCGATGCCTTCGGCGCCTCGCCCAGCCCCGGAGGCGGCGCCCTCTTCTGCTCCAAGATCTGCCACGAGCTCCGCCTCTGCGTCGGCAGCTGTTCCGGCGACACCAACGCGCTCCCCTGCAACGCCGTCTCCAACGAGCGTCGGTCGAGTTGGGGGTGCCATCGGTGGCGCTGCAGGGACACCACAGCGAAGGTCATTCGCGCCGGCGCGGTCCTCTCCCCTCACCGCGCCACCTTGGCAGCCAGAATCGCGAGCCGCGTCGCCTCCGGGTATGACGCTGCCCCCTCGGCTCCGACCGTCACCTGAGCGACCCCGCGGGAGCTCTTCGTCCGGTAAGACGCTGAGCCCGCTGGTATGGCCGAAATCGCGTCCGCCGGCCAACGAGCCCAAAAGAGCGGCCCCAAAGGCTTCGCCAACGACCATCGCGAAGAGAATGGAGACAGCGAGGGCGGCGAAGAAGACTGCGACGAAGAAGGCGGCGACGGTTAAAAAGAAACCACAGGAGGTAGAGAGTAGCGTGGGTGGGATGGAGGCCGGGACGGGAGAGGCAGTTGGGCGTCAAGGCAAGGGCAAGGAGGTGGAGGCTCCCGCGGAAGCAGACACGGCACCGGTGCCAGAGCCAGCGGCGGGGCCGGTCCTCATACACTCGATCACCCCCCTTAACCCTGGGCAACTGCGTCAGGAGGCAGAGGCGAGGAAGGAGAGAGAGGCGCGCTTGGCGGCAGAATACAAGGCGAATAGCAAGTACAACAACCCCGACGGCAATTACCCAATAGTCGTAGTGCCTCTGCCGCCGGATGCCCCTCGCCCACGCCGCCTGCCCGTACCTCGGCGGACTATGGGGGCAATCGTCAGCCTGGTTGACGAGCGGCAGGCGAGGGACGATGCAAAGCTGCTGGCGGCGCTGAAGGGGGCCGGCGATAGGATGGCGGCGAACATGGCCACACGGGGCGCGAACCGAAGGGGGACGGAGGAGAACCAGGGGAAGGGGAAGGGGACGGGCGAGAGTGGTGCGAAGGGGAAGGAGACCGCGAAGAGCAGCTCTTCTGGAGGTGCTGCCACGAGCCGGAAGAGGAAGGCTGCCGCCAACGAAAACAGTGAGCCCTGGCCGCCGAAGAAGAGGTACGTGTTTGTTCCCGATGCTAATCTCCACGCACTAACTGTTGTCTTTCCTTTCAGAACAAGGGCGACATAGATTCTACATACTGTACGTCTCGTTGTTGATTTCACTTACAGTGTAACCACTAGTAGAGTATAATGCCCTCGTAGCACGACAAGAAGTGCGTCTGGACTTGGTTCCTAGCACAGAGATTTTGTTATAACTCACTACGTCGTTTAAATATCACGCTGAGCTGCCGTTCCCTAATTATAAACAGGCGTCGCTTTTGCCTTCGAGGATGTCGTTTAGGTACTTAGTATTTATTTTGAAGTCACACAAACACAAAAAACAAAAATAATGACTTAACCACGATTCGAACGCAGGGCTTCAACATTTTTGATTATGGAATTCCGATGGAATTCCCCAAGCAGCCAGTGGCTACTCGAAGAAGATCAAGTCGAGGTGTTACCAACTACACCATCAAGTCTATATATAATTTGGCGAAGGGGAGGAGTAATGCTCTCCATTTGCGGAATCTTTTTAACCAAAAAAAAAGTTACAAGTCCGATTTGATCACAAAAATATAAAAAGCAGTCTACATAAATCATGTGGGGGAAGGCTGAAGGTATGAAGGGGAAGGTAAGGAGAATTGGAGGACGCGGTGCGGTCGAATAGGCGAGGGAGATGTGGTGGAATGGTGGTATAGTCCAAAAAGGGTCGTAGGGCGAGGTACGTGGGGCGTGGAGCCGATCTGAGCGTACATGCAAGATGGTGGGACATGGCCCCACCTCTGCCCAGCGATAGGTAGCTCCCGAGCGCGCGCAGGGCGGGCTGGGAAGCGGCGGAAAGTGGAACGGCGCTGGCGAGCGGCGTGGGCGCCGGGGAGCCGATCCGAGTATACAGGCAGGATGGTGGGACATCGCCCCACCTCTGCCCAGCGATAGATGCGCACGCACGGCGGGCTGGAAAACGGGGGGAAGCGGCGGGAAGCGGAACGGTGCTGGCAAGCGGTGTGGGCGCCGAGGAGCCGATCCGAGTGTACAGGCAGGATGTTGGGACATGACCCCACCCCTGCCCGGCGATGGATGGGTCCCGAGCGCGTGCAGGGCGGGCTGGAAAGCGGCAGGAAGCGGCGGGGAGCGGAACGGTGCTGGCGAGCGGTGTGGGCGCCGGGGAGCCAAGCGGACAGTACAGGCAGGATGGTGGGACATGGCCCCACCTCTGCCCGGCGGTAGATGGGTCCCGAGCGCGCGCAGGGTGGGCTGGAAAACGGCGGGAAGCGGCGGGAAGCGGCGGGAACGGAACGGCGCTGGCGAGCGGGTGGGCGCCGGGGAGCCAAGCGGACAGTAAAGATGTGAGTTTGGAGGTTGGGAGACCCTAGCATAGGAGTGCATAGCCGCTGCGTGGACTGGAGCAGGGAGGAGGGCTGCCGGTATGGGGTTTCATTAAAGCTAGCCGTGTAGGTCGTATAGGAGGCCGAAAGCCGCGGGAAAGGTGCCAATCGAGAGATTTGGGGTGAGGCAATGCTGCCCTGCAGTTGAAGAGGCGCCGCAGCCGGCGGGAGCAGCGTAGGGCGAACGGTAGTAGGTGGCAAGAGGCAAAAGGGTCAGATGCTAATAATGACAAACAAAGGCGCACCTGCCTGAAAAGGCGAAGCAAACAACCCTCATAACATCCGTCCAGCCCCACGCCCCCACTCAGAACCAGCGCGGTCGAGGCTGTTTTTATTGTGGGAACACGCCCCCTCACTGGGCGCCGGCCGCGCGGCTGCGCCAGAATTCCCAAAAGCAGCTAAAATAGCGGGATACACCGCCACGAGCCCACGACAGCGCCGCGACAGTGTCGCCGCCTAAAGGCCGGACCTACTGCCTGTTATAGGTGCGCCTCTAGTCTGATATATCGGCCGCTGCTCTGGCCAGAGGTCCTGATGTATCAGCTGGCATCTCTTATCACTGTGTTTTGATATATCATAATAGCACTATGCGCTGGGTGATAGGGCGGCATATTGTATGACAATGCTCACATTATTCAAACCTTGGAGGACGCCTGCGGAGCTGAAGGATAATTTGTCAACATGGGATCAGACGTTCAAGGAGCACAATTTCACTGACCGGCAAAAGGAATTGATCAAAAATTTTGATGTACGCTATGAATGCAACGACGCCCGAGACGACCACTTCGCACTGGTGAAAAAGAAGTTGGCCGAGGCCAAGAAATCTGGGCAGAATTTATTCCCCGCAGGCTTCATGACTTCTAAGGATAAGTTCGCCAATGACTTGAACGACTTTGACTATGGTTCGGATGATGATGATCTCGTCGACAATGATGAAGATGCCGAAAAAGGCAAGAGAACTCTGCGGATGATTGCAGAAGCAAAGGAAATCAAACAAGTTATGCAGACCAGTGGATGGCTTGACAAGTGTGCCGATGGATTCCCTGCGGTGGACACCGACCAAGTCATGCCGACGTTCCGACCGAGGATTGAGTGGGTCAGCTTGATCAAAATTCAGAGGATGGAACTCACAGCGAATAAACTGTCGAACTTATCTCCAGGTCCGAAGGGAGGGGAAATTAACAAGATCAAAGATGGAATCGAGATCTTACCATTCGATTATTTCAGTCACAGGTCCAATATTGACACAGCAACGAACGCAGACATCATATCTGGTATAATTATGAACTTCGACTTAAACCTAGAGCAAACGCGGGCATTCAGAATAGTCACCGATCACGCATCCGGACCCCAGTATGAGCCATTGAGGATGTATCTTGGAGGGATGGGCGGAACCGGAAAGTCGCAAGTCCTGAAGGCGATCATTTCATTCTTCAACCAACGAAAAGAAGAGCATCGGTACCTTGTATTAGGTCCCACAGGTTCTACGGCCGCTCTTCTGAACGGCTCCACTTATCATTCGGTGTTCAAAATACCTAGGGAATCCAAGAGTAAAAATCACGATGACATTGAAGGTATAAGAAATGAAGGCACAGCATTGGCAGCGGTGAACGAACGCCTTCAAGGGGTTGATTACATTTTCCTGGATGAAATATCAATGGTATCCTGCAATGACTTCCAGGTATTGGCTGCGCAGGCCGCCAAGGCAAGAAACATACATGATGATTCATTTGGATCCTTGAACATGGTTGTTGCCGGAGACTTCGCACAATTGCCGCCAATGACGGGACCCTCGTTATATAGTGGAAAGGTTACATTGCAAGTTTCAGATGCACTCGACCAAAGAAATCAGAATGCAGTCCTCGGGAGAATATTGTGGCATCAATTCAACACCGTTGTGATGCTGCACCAGAATATGAGACAAAAAACACAGACAGCAGAGGATGACAAACTCCGACTTGCCTTAGAGAATATGCGCTACGGAGCCTGCACCCGCGATGATCTTGACTTTCTAGATTCGCGTATCGCCGGGTTTCGACCGGAAAACCCAAAGTTGAACTCGAGAGAAATCAGAAATGTGTCGATAATCACAGCTCGAAACAGCCAGAAAGATGCTTTGAACAGGATGGGGGCTGAACGGTTTGCAAGAGACACAAACCAGACATTGACGGAGTTCTGTTCTATCGACAGGTTGAGTGCCAGATCTGTAGATAAGAGCAAGTGGAAAGGTTGTGTTCAATCTGATATCAAAAGAATGACGCGCTCACTTCAGCAGAAGCTCTGGGATGCACCAGCATCTGCAAATAGCGAATTTATCCCTGGGAAGTTGTCCCTGTGTTTGGGGATGCCGGTGATGTTAAGGGCTAATGATGCCACCGAACTTTGCATGACGAAGGGACAAGAAGGAGTTGTGTGTGGGTGGGATTCCTCTGAAGGTCCCGCAGGCCAACAAGTTCTGGAAACACTGTTTGTGCGGCTGGTAAAACCACCTAGGAACATCCAAATTGCCAACCTTCCTCTAAACGTCATCCCACTTGTGCGAACTGTTACCCATATTACTTGCCTTCTAGAGGACGACACATTGCTGTCAATTTTGCGGGAACAAGTCGTTGCGTTGCTAAATTTCGGGATGACGGACTACACATCCCAGGGTAAATTGAGGGCACAGAACCCGGTGGAGCTTGCTCACTGTCGGGGTCATAGATCTTATTACGTTGCCCTCTCGAGAGGATTCACTGCGGACGGAACTGTGATAGTGCAAGGTTTCGATGAGAAGAAGATTACCTCGGGCATGTCAGGATATTTGCGACAAGAGCTTCACGAGCTAGAGATCCTCGACGAGATCACGAAGTTGCGGTACGAGGGTAAACTGCCGCGATCTGTCACTGGACTGTATCGACGGAGAAGGCTATTTCTATTTTTGCGACAGATTCGGCGGACAAGATTAATCGTGCCAACATTATTTCCTGCGTTCAAGATTATTTCACGCGGTGGCACGTCTCACTGCGTTCAGACCCCATGTAGATGCAGGGTGGTCCTACGTTGGGCTACCTGCGTCTACGTTGGTCTACCCCCTGTCTACATTGGTCTACCCGGGTAGCAGTATGCCGCGTAGCCTATAGTGATCCTAGGTTGGCCTACCACGTGGCTACATGACGTAGGTCTACGTAGACGCAAGTTCGGCTATGTTGGTTACGTTAGTATACCCGCGTAGACCTCCCACGCATAACAGGCCAATGACAGGCCGTAAATTCGAAAAATCGGCACCAAATCGGTGAAGCCGTGAATTACCATGGTAGGGTTACATACGTCTACGTGTGGCTATGTTGGTCTACGTTGGTCTACCTGTGTAGACCAACATAGACCCATGTAGCCCAACCTGCATCTACACGCGTAGCCGTACGTAGACCAATGGGTGTGTCTACCCCTATGGTCTACCCGGGTAGGAGCACCCTGTGTCTACATAGGGCCTGAACGCAGTGTCTGATTTGGTGAGCAGGATTATCTTTCTGTCAGGATTGTTTTGCATATAGTGAACCCTGTACTGATTCGAATGACAGGATGAGTTGTGTTCAGGGCTACTCCGCGGTCAAGATTATTTTAGATTCATCGGGTGGTTTGGATAGGATTTTGTGATTGTGGTACAATGTCGGTCTCAGCTTTGTGGGGTGACAAAAAAAGCGAACTATCAAATCACCCCCATGCGGAAACCGACGGCCATGGCTGGGGGCGCCCGACAAATTCCTGCATGGTGTGGGGATCCCTTTCGAAGTATCTACACCAGTTGTCGTCTCCTAAGCGGCGTTCAATTAGACGAGTGCGTTGTAAAATTGAACAACGCACCATGGTCAGTGTTGAACGATTTATCTACGCAGAGGTCAAGAACCGGCAACCCCACTGATTCCGCAGCTGCACTTGTCATAGGATCGAAGCCATGCTCTTCCTGGATGTTCCCGGCCACCTCATAATGATGCGATTCCCACCGCATCACTGAGATATACGGACTCCAAACCATTCGGATGGTGAATGCCGCTGGGGGAATGAGTTCTGTTTGGATGCTATTGGCGTCGGTGGACCAGTATATTTTGGGCTCA